TCCCCATACATATGAAAATGTAACAGACTGCAGAGATAGTCTCAATATGATAGAGACCAGAGAGATCATCCAGCTTGTTATCAGCACTCAGTTCTAAATCTTCTATCTCTGATAGTATAAGAATCCATTAATGTCTATAGAATTGACAGGATCACTGCTGACAGGTTTTTAGAGCAACATATGATCTATCCAGACGATGCTTTTTCAGGTAAGGCCTTGTATATTCCAGCAAGACAATCCTAAACTGCATACTGCATCTGTTACAACAGTATGGCTTTGTAGGTAAAAGTGTCGAGCTTCTGCCTGTAGTTCACGCCTTTCACCAACTGAAAACATTTGGAGCCTCATGAAAAGAAAAATATGACAAACAAGACGCAGAAGTGTTAAACTGTAGCCTGGATCAAAACATAAATGGGATAATTTCCTTCTACCAAAAGTCCAGAACTCAGATCTGATTTCATTTTTCAGATGTTAAGAAATCTGAAAAATGAAATCACAACCCTGTGTTTGTCCCTCTGTCAGCAATGACGCATACATTTCATTTCCATTTTCATGAAGCAGCTGTTGGTTTATAGCATTTATCCCATGAAGGACACATTTTTTTATTGTAGCCATTACCTTCAAATGCTCACACATCATTTGGTTGAGTTGAATTTGTGTTAAAAACAATATGATTTCATAATAGAAGCTTGAGTGAGGGTGAGTAACTATTAAGGATGCAGACTAATAGTTCCAAAGAGTCATTGTACTGATTTACACTGTTAAACATGTTGTAGACAGCTCTTTAACAAATGATATATTGCTTATAGTTTAGCTATGCAGTATAAAGACACACTGTTTAGCCACACTATTAAAGCACACCCTTGCTTCATATACATGTCAGCAGCTCAGACCCATAGGGGCATGGAAAAAGATTTGATAGGTATCCGGTGTTTTTCGACACCATGACTTTGTGGAACCTTTTGTTTGTTTAGGTTTGGGGCCGGGCCTCTGTGAATCAGACATGTTCCTATTCATCCAGCAGATGCAAAGTCACAGCAGAATATTACAAGTCTGAATGTCAGCATAGTGCCTTAGCTTCTTTGTTGTGCGTCCAAGATTTTCTTGAGCAGTTGCCTTCGTACACTGTCGAGCAGTATTGTCCTACTTGGGGAGACCACTCCTGCTGGGGGTGTCCTTACCATGTTTTTGTTCTGTAACATATGATTTGGGTATTACATGTGGTTTTCCAATAGAATATCATAAAATAACAGTAAATAGGACTTTTATATTCTATTTGAGAACTCAAAGGATATTCTTTCTATACTTTTTGTACATGAATATTTTTTATGTAACATTCACATTGCAACAGATGCATCTGAGACCAATATGGGGTTACTATCTTGAATGGAGATGGGAGCACCCAGGAATTGGATCACCAACCTTCCAATCAGTAGATGACTTGCTCCACCTCCTAAGCTACATCTACTCAGCAGTTTACACCATGAAGCCTAAGCTACTTCCTACTATCGGTTCACCTGGTCTCCTTGGGATTTACTGGAACTATGTCATGAATTTAATAGTCAGACAACAGCAGCGCTCTATACAATAATCTGTATCTGATTCTGGCCACTACGTTATTTATAGTGAAAACAATACAAATCACCAGATTTACCATTTCAAGACTGGACACACGCACACACGTTCTCTCTGTCAAGCGAAGTTTTTGCTGAGCATCTATCTATTCATTGATCAAACAGGATGTTGTGGTGGCAGGCTACCAATGAAAAGTGCTGTTTTACAAAAAAGTGATTTAAAGTTTAACTACAGTGGGGCAAAAAAGTATTTAGTCAGCCACCGATTGTGCAAGTTCCCCCACCTAAAATGATGACAGAGGTCAGTAATTTGCACCAGAGGTACA